CTCTCTAACATATGAGGTTAAACTTCGAAAACAATTTGAAAGGGAAATTGTTAATGTAATTCATGTATAGTGAAATAGACAGGTTCTCTGTAATGTTAACTCTTGGGATTCCAGACTGTCAGTGAACGCACGTATATAGGTAGGTCTGTGATTGGGTGCGAGTGTGAGTCTGTGTGTATGTCACGGAGTGAGGAGCCAGTGGAAGGAAAGAAGAGCATGTAGAGAAGTTATTATTATGTGGCGTAGTTACGGCCGACAGTAACTGTTAAGGTTTTTCAATAAAAGACCTGTCTGAGACGAACGCCTCGTCGTCATTGTAACGCTCGGCCAGACGTTACAATAAGTATTTATATTTCTTAAAAAGTCTTTATTAACATACATATATTATCATATCTGAAAAAACTAAGTTGTAGTTGTCATAAATATTAAAGTATTTGTCTGTTATTAACACCAAAGTACATCAATTTGACAGGTACAAAGTATATTTTGAAATAAATGCAAGAATCACATCTTGTTGTAAATATGGCATGTTGCTATTGTCAGCACACCAGTGTGTATATTTAACTGTGAAACTGCATTATTTTTGCGAAAAGAATGCAAAAATTACAGTATTGAACTGTAAAAAAATGTATGGCCCACAACAGTAAATATATTTAACTGTGAAAAACTATTTTTGGGGCGAAATAAATGCAAAAATCACGGTACTGAAGGCAATGCATTTTTTTCCAGACAAAAATGTTAAAAGTACTGTACTTTACTGATTTACTAATTCACAGTGAGTCATTGTTATATAAACACTGTGTGACACTGTTTTAGAGTTTACAGATTTTTACTGTCATGGTTTGACATGTATTCACCGTACAATTTACAAACATTTTTAACAGTGTAAGTTGAGAAACACGTTGGTGTTTTGAAGGACCCTGTAGAATCTCTTCATCTTATGTCTTAGTTGTCATTGGTCATAGGTTTTAGTCCTAGTTTTAGCCCTAGGCTAAAAAAAAAACAGGGACATTTGCAAACATTTCCAAGTTAGTACTGTAACTACACCTGCAGCTGGTTTTGCTTGGTTCCAAGCTCTCAAGGTCATGAGAATCACACCCATACTGCACTGTAGATTTTCTGTGGAGTTTTGGATCCTTTTTCACAATGCAGCTTTCAATAGTTTCCTCAAATATGTCATTTTCCCCCATAAACCCTGAGAGTTATCCAAGGAACCGGAATAGTTAAAAACCACAGGTATCTGGTATTTTAACATAAAATGAACCCAAGTGTATTTCTGAGACCACAGGATGTTTTGTGTAAACTTGCTGGGTTTTAGCACCTTTCTGTTGGACGAGGGCATTCTCGCATCCCTTGCCTCAAGACAGGTTCTTGTGTTTGTAGATAAGCTTTACAGTGAGTGCAGAAGTATTTTTGAGGATTCATTTTATTATTGAACAACAACCATGTTCTTAATGAACCCAAAAGACTCATTAATATCAAAGCTGAATATTTTTGGGATTTGGAGTGGGGCTTTTTTAGTTTTAGCTATTTTAGGAGGATATCTGTGTGTGCAGGTGACTATTACTGTGCATAATTATTAGGCAACTTAACAAAAAACAAATATATACCCATTTCAATTATTTATTTTCACCAGGGAAACCAATATAACAGCTCAACATTCACAAATATACATTTCTGACATTCAAAAACAAATCAGTGACCAATATAGCCACCTTTCTTTGCAAGGACACTCAAAAGCCTGCCATCCATGGATTCTGTCAGTGTTTTGATCTGTTCACGATCAACATTGCGTGCAGCAGCAACCACAGCCTCCCAGACACTGTTCAGAGAGGTGTACTGTTTTCCCTCCTTGTAAATCTCACATTTGATGAGGGACCACAGGTTCTCTATGGGGTTCAGATCAGGTGAACAAGGAGGCCATGTCATTAGTTTTTCTTCTTTTAGGCCCTTTCTTGCCAGCCACGCTGTGGAGTACTTGGATGCGTGTGATGGAGCATTGTCCTGCATGAAAATCATGTTTTTCTTGAAGGATGCGGACTTCTTCCTGTACCACTGCTTGAAGAAGGTGTCTTCTAGAAACTGGCAGTAGGACTGGGAGTTGAGCTTGACTCCATCCTCAACCCGAAAAGGCCCCACAAGCTCATCTTTGATGATACCAGCCCATACCAGTACCCCACCTCCACCTTGCTGGCGTCTGAGTCGGACTGGAGCTCTCTGCCCTTTACCGATCCAGCCATGGGCCCATCCATCTGGCCCATCAAGACTCACTCTCATTTCATTCAGTCCATAAAACCTTAGAAAAATCAGTCTTGAGATATTTCTTGGCCCAGTCTTGACGTTTCAGCTTGTGTGTCTTGTTCAGTGGTGGTTTTTCAGCCTTTCTTACCTTGGCCATGTCTCTGAGTATTGCACACCTTGTGCTTTTGGGCACTCCAGTGATGTTGCAGCTCTGAAATATGGCAAAACTGGTGGCAAGTGGCATCTTGGCAGCTGAACTCTTGACTTTTCTCAGTTCATGGGCAGTTATTTTGCACCTTGGTTTTTCCACACGCTTCTTGCGACCCTGTTGACTATTTTGAATGAAACGCTTGATTGTTCGATGGTCACGCTTCAGAAGCTTGGCAATTTTAAGAGTGCTGCATCCCTCTGCAAGATATCTCACTATTTTTGACTTTTCTGAGCCTGTCAAGTCCCTCTTCTGACCCATTTTGCCAAAGGAAAGGAAGTTGCCTAATAATTATGCACACCTGATATAGGGTGTTGATGTCATTAGACCACACCCCTTCTCATTACAGAGATGCACATCACCTGATATGCTTAATTGGTAGTGGGCTTTCGAGCCTATACAGCTTGGAGTAAGACAACGTGCATAAAGAGGATGATGTGGTCAAAATACTCATTTGCCTAATAATTCTGCACTCCCTGTATGTCTGTCTTTTTGCAGAAGGCATGGAGCAAATATTGGTATTTTTGACATCATGTCCACATTATTGACAAGCCAACCCATCCAAGATTTTAATTCTCATTCTTTATGTTGGATTTTTTCCTGGTGGATTTGATGAATTGATAATCCATTAGGGCTAATTACCATAGGTATGTCCTTCAGGTGGCTGTGGAAGCTTCATGTTATCTTTGGACATCATTAGACGTCTTAACTCCTGAAGGACAACTTTTATGGTATAGGAACTTTGCCATTTGGCTAAAATCTGTATGTTACGCAGGTCGATCGTCCCGTTGGTATTATTGATGCCATTCATGCAAATTTTTGTGAGAAACCGTACTGTTGGAGCCACTTCTGGGTATCTAGGTCCACATTCTAGTTTAAGACTATATATCCTGTTCTCGTAATTGGTTCCTGGCGGTCCAATGATCATTCCTCTCCAACTGGTCAGAGTCATGTCATCATCGTCCTCTAGCCCCCAGCTGACTGTGCCGTCACCAACACCCTTTTGACCCTCTTCAAGCTCATCCAACAAACGGAAATTGCGAGGAACTTTGATTCCTAAAATAATAAGAAACATGTTGGGTCAAGAAATGGTTGAACACAGAATCTTAAAGGTGGGATTTCAAAGAGAAAAAGGATTTTAGGTTAGATTACTTTTACCCTGCATGGTCGGTTTTGACCACACCTTCTCAGTAGATTCTGGTTGACCACAATTCAGTAGGTTCTTTTCGACCACACCTCTGTAGGTCCTTGTTGACCACTCCTTCTTAGTAGGTTCTTGTTGACCACAGCTTCTCAGGAGATTGTTGTCGACCACACCTTCTCAGTAGGTCCTTGTTGACGACACCTTCTCAGTAGGTTCTTGTTGACTACACTTCAGTAGGTTCTTGTCAACCAGACCTTCTCTGTAGGTTCTTGTTGACCACTCCTTCTCTGTAGGTTCTTGTTGACCACTCCTTCTCAGTAGGTTCTTGTTGACCACTCCTTCTCAGTAGGTTCTTGTTGACCACTCCTTCTCAGTAGGTTCTTGTTGATCACACCCTCTCAGGAGATTGTTGTCGACCACACCTTCTCAGTAGGTCCTTGTTGACGACACCTTCTCAGTAGGTTCTTGTTGACTACACTTCAGTAGGTTCTTGTCAACCAAACCTTCTCAGTAGGTTCTTGTTGACTACACTTCAGTAGGTTCTTGTCAACCAAACCTTCTCTGTAGGTCCTTGTTGACCACTCCTTCTCAGTAGGTTCTTGTTGACCACTCCTTCTCAGTAGGTCCTTGTTGACGACACCTTCTCAGTAGGTTCTTGTTGACTACACTTCAGTAGGTTCTTGTCAACCAGACCTTCTCTGTAGGTCCTCACACCTTCTCAGGAGATTGTTGAGTAGGTTCTTGTTGACTACACTTCAGTAGGTTCTTGTCAACCAAACCTTCTCTGTAGGTTCTTGTTGACCACTCCTTCTCAGTAGGTTCTTGTTGATCACACCTTCTCAGGAGATTGTTGTCGACCACACCTTCTCAGTAGGTCCTTGTTGACCTCAACTTCTCAGTAGGTTCTCATTGACCACACTTTCTTTGTTCTTGCTCTTGTTGACCACACCTGATTCTCATTGCAATGACCATTTCACTTCATAAGATCAGAGCTACAATTGGATCACTTCAGAGGATCAAAGCCTCTTGGTCTCAATCAAAGTCAGTCTTTCTACCTCCTTTTCTCTATTGACGGCTATCAATGTAGCCCTCTTTTGGGAGGTCTGACATACGCAGGAAACTTAATATGCAGTGATACCACATACCAGTAACATACCAGTGGATTTGAAAACATAATGAAGTTGGTGTGATCACAGACAAAAAAAAAATGTTAGACATCATTTGCCACTGAAAATGGAACCAGTATCAAGAAGTAATGGGAATAAACTCAGGTTTGCTTCATGTCCTCATTATGGACTATCCTAAGAAGTCATTATTTCTCAAAGGCACTGTGGTCAGCTCATAGTGGTTTCTTCCGTAAGATATATAAATAATTTTGCACACACAATTATAGCATCAGAAAAACTCTTAGTCCTTTGAATACAGACAGACAGTTTTGGGGACTTGGCAGAAGTTGTGCCTGGTCTTTGGCCTTAGGGAGGTCACAGCTAAGTGGTAAAGTCAGAGGTGAAACTCTGCCTCAGAGTTTGAGGGAGTGAATTAAGGGCAGGACTTGTTAATCAATAAGAGTGAGAAGGTCAGATCACAGGTTTTGGAGTCAGAATGTCATGTTCCTGAGAAACCTCAAGTGGAGATAATTTGATTTTATTTGTTTATTATGTTGTATTTTAGTGTTTATTTCTTGAAATTACTCTGATAATGGACAACAAAACAGACTTGTCGTCATTTAAATTATTTATGTGTTTGACCTTAACCTTATTTTTATACATTTCTTAGTAAGAAATGAATTCCTATTAAATAAAAAACCTTAAATTAAACATCACCTTTGTCTACAACAGGGTCAAAGACATACTGTAACTGGAAGTAACAGCAGAGATGAGCTAAAACAAATGGAATGTAGAACTAATGGGATAGAACTTAATTTAACCTTCTGGATTGCGTTAGGAACCTCATGTAAATTATTCCTCTTTCTATTTTTGAAACCAGTTTGCAGCAAACCAGCTGCAACTGTCATGTCCTCTGTCTGTGAATGATTGACACTGCACTGAAAAACCTGTGGACATTTAAGACACTGACTCGGGATACGGAAACTTTAGGTGTTTTGGACAGAACATTTTGGAAACATTGTCAATACTTTCGTCATCCAGACTCTTGACTCCAGAGGACTAATTTACAAAACCTTAGTAGGACTTTATGGTTTTTGGAAATCAAGGCAACCTTAGAAAATAAAAGGAGTTTCTGGTTCTTGAAGAGCCCAGTACTCCAGTTGACACACGGCTCTTGGACCACTAGCGATTACAACAGTTTTTCTTCAGTTTTTTGTACTTATGTGTACTTATTTAAATATAATAGTTCTAGTCAACTTTAGCCAATTACTTCAATAAAACGGCAAAAGATTTTTGAGCAATATCAGGAACCTAAAAATGTTTTGTGTTGATTAGGTTTATCTAAATATATTCTTTAACCTTTAGATAGATAGATAGATAGATAGATAGATAGATAGATAGATAGATAGATAGATAGATAGATAGATAGATAGATAGATAGATAGATAGATAGATCCATCGATCCATCGGAAAATTAAGGACCTGGGTTCCGATGGTCACTTTTATGTTTCATGAATGTACGGATTGGTAACAAAAATGTATTTGTGCTAAAAGAAAAAAATATATAACTGTGTCTGGACACTCAAATACTTCCATTTGTCTTCACCTTTGGAGGTTGGTTTTACACTCTTCTCCATCTCCGGTGGGAACTGTGTTCACAAACACCAACTTGAACTGTTCATAATTGATGTTCACTGCTGGAAAAAAATAGGACGCATTTGTGAAATCCAACAAGTGTTTGGGGAAGAAGAGGAAGAAGAGAAAGAGTGCGGGCGGCCGTACTCCAGGGGTATCAGTAATCGTCTGGAATAGCGTCCAATTAATGAGCCAGATGGTATTTTTACAATAACACCTGGGACATCCGGGCACTCAGCGGGCGGGAGCTAATTCTATTTAGAGTAACATTTCAAAAAGCTTATAAACACACACATACAAGCACACACACATACACACACACAGGCTGCTCTGTCAGCAGCTTAAAGCTGTAATAAATAGCTTTTTTGCATCTGAGAGCAGAGCGAGTGTAACCTGCTCCTGGGGTTTTTAGTTTGAACTAATCTGTCCCAAACACAGAACAGACCGAAGAAACCAACAGAAAGAAAAAGAGGAAATACATTAGCAAAGAATTCCATGAATTGAAAAAAAGATTGAAAAAAATCTGCTGGATCACGTTATACTATATACATATAGTATTCATATATACATACAGTGGAACCTCGAGATACGAGCGTCCCGACATACGAGTATTCCAAAATAGCAGCAAACCTTCGAGCAAATGTTTGCTTTGAAATACGAGTAAAGATTTGAGATACAAGCATGCCTACAGATGCCGACGCTAGGTGGCAGAGCACGCCGAGCAGGCCACGCCGCCTCACTTGTTCACTTCATGTGTTTGTCATCCGTATTGTGTTTGTGTTATCTAAGTGATTATCTCTCTATTTTGTGCATTATTCTTCATAATAGTGATGAGTCCTAAGAAAGTGAGTGGTAAGGATGGTAGTAAGGAGAAACGCATGATGACTACGGAAATAAAGCATGAAATTGTCGATAAATATGAGCGTGGTGCCCGCAAAAGAAAGAATACAAATCGAAAAAAAACCAAAAAAAAAACGTAAGTTAGGTTAACTTAATTCTAAGTTTATGTAAGTTACGTAGTGTACGTGTAAAGTACGGTACGGAATCAAGTGTCTACGTACGGGTCAACTCTACGATACGAGCAGCTCAAGTTACAAATATATATATATATACAGTATATATATATATATATATATATATATATACTGTATATATATATACAGTATATATATATATATATATATATATATATATATATATATAATGTTTTGGTTGACTATTAACACATTTTCTAGCTTATCCTCTAAAAAAAACAACGTTTCCTGTAACACCAGAGCGCTGTCTGTGAGATTGAGATACAGGCAGCAGCGGAATTGACTGTCGTTGACAATCATGTGGTGACGAGCAGCGTTTGACGATCTAAATGAAACGAGCGCTGCTCATTATTAGATGATAACTGTGTTGATCATCAGACTCGGCTGATCATCAGATGTTCTTCTTCTCTCTTTAGCTTTCCTTCTCTTTGTTTCCTGCTCATAATGATCAATGCTGATTAGAAGACATAAAGAACGCCGGGAGGGACCCTTGTGGTTTGCTGTCATTGTTGTTTCCAGGGGCAGATCCAGAGCCCTTAGAGGGATGGGGGGAGGGGGGAGGGGCATTCAGCGCCTCCATATGTGCGACATATGCACCCAGTTATTTACTCATGTACAGACAGGCTCTCTCATTGTCTCTCTCTCTCTCTCTCTTTCTCTGTCTTCGTCTATCTCTTTCACCAGTGATAATTAGTAGCTCACTCTTTACCATTAAATCATTATTAGCCTGATAAACACTTCAGGGGTAGTTTACTGCTGCTGCCATTGTCGCTTCTGCTGCCTGCGTGGCCGCTGCACTGAGTTATGGCCAAATATCTACACCCCCCCCCAGACCCCCCGCTCCCTGTAATTGATGGCTCTGGTAAGCCTGGGTCGATCCATAAAGAGCAGTTTCTGCTCTGTGGTTAATGCACAGGCCTAGAAAAAAAAATGCAGGAAATGATGGGAGATGAAGACGAAGGCGATGAGTCACTGGAGGACACCACAGGAGTGGGAGCAGCAGAACCAGAGAGGATGTAAACCACAACATGTAATGTTACTCACGGCCACCTCAAATTACATTTCAGGAGATTAATAAGAGACACTTTTGGAGGACCTTCTCCAGAGGCCTCTTTCGTTCTCTTCCTGTTTTTATACAGCTGTCCAGTAGTTCTGGTCCATGAAGAAATGTCTGAAGGGAATGTACTGTTGGAGAGAGGTTTAAAAAAAAAAAAATTATGAGAACTTTCTGTGTATTTTCTGAGCAGAAAATCAAATAAGTGCCGCAAATTTATATTTATATTCAGTATAGTATTTATAGTAAATATATACACAGTGGAACCTCGGTTGTCGAACACCTCCCTCTTCGAACAATTCAGTTCACAAACAAGATTTTGGACTAAAAATTGCCCCGGGTGTCGTACCATAACTTGGTTGCCGAACAAGCCAACGTCACGACACGGGCAGACAGTGATCACTAAGTGACTCAGTGGAGGCGTCAGTCCGTGCTCGGGATATACACGCTTGTACAACACAACTGTTGATGTCTGATTTTGACAGTATTTCTTGCGTTGGGCTATTTGTTCTACTTTTCTGAATACTTATAAATCACCATGGGAAAGAAAAGTAGAGAGAACAACAACAATAGAAGTGATTATATGAAACCATGTTTCAGATTTGGCTTTACGATATTAGCTTAGTCGTAGTCAAGAGAGAGTTCTCTGCAGCCTTCCTTCCTTCCTTCTCTCCTTCCTTCCTTCCTTTCTTTTCTGTTTTGACGTGTGAAGAACATGTATGGCACCAGAGAAGAGACTGTAGAACTGATCTTCTACCAAATGATCATTTACATTAACAGTAATTGTCGGTTCAGAATTGATAAATAACCCGCATGTCTGGACTGAGGGGTGGACTTGGAGAACCGAGTAGGGAAAACAGGAGAACTCTGTACAGAAAGACCAGCAGCTGGAGTCTGGGATTGTACTAATGAGGATCTTACTGCCGGACCCATATTTGATTAAATAACTGCTTCATAAGAGGAAAAACAATCCCAGAAAAAGGTCAAAGAACTTCACGCTGAGAACCTTCTCCTAGAGTAATAACACCCAGATAACTTTTATTTTAGTGACACTATAGGCCATAAAAACACACTTATGGCGCTATAATGTGTTTATAATAAATGTCTATAATAAATATAATAAAAAACAAACAAACTGGTGTGTTCCACTGTGGACCTTTACGGATGGTCCAGTCATGGAAAACCATTTTACTTTCTTCCCCAGAGACTTCAAACAAGCCAATATGGAGGAAGTGTGTTTGTGTGTGTGTGTGTGTGTGTCTCAACTGTTGACACAAATGTGAAAAATGAAAACATCCTCTCTGTGTGACATCCACTGCAGACAGAATCGCCTGTATGTGTGTTTGTCTGTACCGCTTCTGTTTGCAAGTACGCGTGTGTTTAATTTGCCCCGAAGTGTAGTGATGCATGCTGGGAGCTCGAGGCATGGAGATATTAATTAGCTGAAACGAAGCAAGAGGGGAAAGGCTAAGAGATGGCAGGAGTTTTTATTACTATTATTTAGGTTGTATTTTCCAGGATGTAGGTTGTATTTTCCAAACATAAATATTAAACCTAAAATACCTGTAAATGTCAGAAACTTACTTTAGAAATTACATTTAGAGGACGTTCAACTTTGATAAAAAAAATATAGAGTTACTGTTATTTCCCGTCTATAAGCCGCTACTTTTTTCACACGCTTTGAACCCTGCGGCTTAAACAATGATGCGGCTAATTTATGGATGGACACGCTGGACAAGCTGGACAATGTGGTTTATGCCGTTCAGTGCAGTGAGGAGTGTACTGACCTGTACATTGGGGAGACTATACAACCGCCTCACAGACGCATGGTCCAACACAGGAGGGCCAACTCCTCAGGACAGGACTCAGCTGTTCACATACACCTCAAAAACAAAACACACTCCTTTGAGGATAACAATGTACACATTTTGGCCAGGAAAGACAGATGGTTTGAGAGAGGGGTAAAAGAAGCCATTTTTGTCAACCTGGAAAAAACCATCACTCAACAGAGGTGGACTCAGATACAAACCTATCACCCACATACAAAGCACTTTTAGGAACAATACCCAAAAGTTTCACCTCAGTCAGGTGACCGAAACCGTTCTGATGGGGACCACAACGACCCATCAGACTCTTAACGACTGTTTACACTTTCACAGTTGACCCCAAGGCCCAACCCAACATGGTGGAGCTGAAGTAGCTTAGCTTAGAGTACATATCTGCTGTACTCCCCACCACCAGTTAGAACTGAAGAAGCCTCTTGGATGAGAGGTGAAACGTCTTCTTTTAGAAAATTCACGTCCAGTTGACTATTAGAACTTTTTCAACCTGACCATGACCTGGATGACTGAGAATCTTCATAGACATGTACTAGTAGCGTATTTCTGTCTGTGAATGGCTGTGTGCATATATGTGCGTGGGAAGCACGCAAGAGAGCGAATGGTAGCTAAAGTTGAGATCAATTTGAGCGCCTGTCATGTTGAAGTGTGAGTTGGTTCTACAGGAGCTGTTAAAACTGTGTTTATGTTCTGTTGTGCTGGGTGTGGCTGATAATAAAGACCCCAACTTCACTGTTTCTGTTTACCTCTGCTGTGGACAAGCACAAAGTGAAGGGAGTTAGCCCCGGAGCTGATGTTAGCTTCGGCCCTGGAGCAGATCTCAAGCTTCCAACTACAGCCAGGGATCCGAAGCAGGAAAGAGTTAACGTGCAACCAGTCGAAAGAAATATATTTTTGTGTAAATATCCCATGTTACAATGTAGACACCTGCAGCCTTAAAGAGAGGTGCGGTCTATAAAAGTACTTTTATATTGTATTTTTAAATGTAATGGGTGCGGCTTATATTCAGGTGCGTTCAACAGTCCGGAAATTATGGTCTTTTCTTGAGGCCAAGAGCGATTTTTCCTCTATGATGACAATACTTCATAAATTAATAATTAAAGAAAATAATCAATGCTAAAATTAACACATATAAATTATATATATTGTAATAGTTAGAGTGTTCTTTTCATGGTCATGAAGGGGTTAGTAGTTACGGGAGAGGGGAGGCGTGGTTAGATAGTGTGTGTGTGGATGAGACTGAGAGGTGCAGAGAGAAGTGAAGGAAAAGGCGTAAGTGAAGCCAATTGTTATTTTCAATAAAAATTCTAGTACGGAGGCGTTTGACTGATCTCTCGCAAGGGAATTACAATATACTGTATATGTATGTATATATATATATGTATATATGTTTTACTACATTTGACCAATTCAGCCAATCTTGTCACAACATGGAGTTGACTTAAAGATACATGCTTACTCGCTAAAAATATATATATATATATAAATAAATAACTAGATGCACAACAACTACATATAATAAACATGAACTGCAAATAATTACAACTAAAAACACTACAAAAGCTACAAAAGTGTACAAAAACTGCTCAAAAAGAAATTAAAAGATGATTAGGTTGTAGACCAGTAACAGTTAAATGTTAGTTTAGGATTAAATCAAATTTTAGTATGAAATAACTTTTTACTGCTTCCAGTTCTGCCACAATAAAGCCACAGAAAAAAAAGCAAAAAGTGAAGTGAAGTTAGCTAAAGTTTAGGTTAATATTGTGATACTATTTCATAAATTGAATTAGAAAATTATTTCTGTCAGTTAAACTTGACAGTGTCCCTCTTCACCACAGACCTCCATTCTTTCATTTCAGTGTTTGTCCAAATTAGCTGCAGTGATGTTTGGGATGTAAACTGAGGCAGGTGATAAGTGTTTCCTGGTAAAGAATGTTGTTAGTTTGAGTCAGAAAAATCACCTGCTCAGTTCTAAAGGCAAAACATTGTGTTTATCCCCCGACTCTGGTGGTCTGCTGTTTGTTCCTGCTGGGTTCATATGCTGAGCAAACGCCATAAAAACCACGTGTCACAGCGAGGAACAATCTGTGTGGTAATGTTACAAAAATCCAAAGAGTACTAACAGTTCGTCGCCAAACCACAAGTGGTTTTTGTTAATGTGTATTAAGTACTGGAGACGCAACGGTTATTGGTGACTGTTAAACAATTCTCCTCTTCTTGGTGCTGCGCACATTTTCAACAGTTTTGGACAGCAGGAAAACGCACAAGTCCTTTGCTATTACTGCAGAACAAAGCCAATGTTAGGCTAACTTTGAAGCCTGGTTCCTGTAAATTTCCTGCCGAATCTACCTTTTGACTATTGGGTTGCAGTACGACGAAACTGAAACTTACAGTACAGAGATTGTGTCACAAAGCTAAAAGTGGTTAGCATGTTGCTATGCTAACCACAAAATAACTGCAGAGATCATGATGAGGTCCAGCAGTTTGGGTATTAGACTTGATCATTTGTGACTTACCTGCATCCCGGCTCAACAGGAAGACGAGACGGAGAGATAAAGCTACAGAGGCGGAGCTTCATCACTTCAGCGTCTGCTGACGTCAGAGCCGTCACAGTCTACTGGTGATGTACGCTCTTAACAGGGTGTTCCATTTCATATACGGTTACATTTCCACCGCTAACTGGGGTCCAAGTGGTGAGGGGCTCGAGTAGAAAAATGGGACGGGGCCCAAGGAAAACTCGTATACATGTCACACTTGTCACGGATACTTGGAAAAGTGAATTGAAGGAGAAAAAAGGGTGGAAGGTAAAATTCCTGTTGTCACTTCTCCACATACAGAGTGAAGTCCTCACTGATAAAATAAACCAACGTCAGTGTTAGTAGAGAAGGAGCCGAGATGGAAATAGACGTGTGCAGAAATGTTTACAGCCAGCTCTGACTTTCGCACTCTGACGGCGGCTGTGGTACTGCAGCCGTGAGACGACTTTCCCGTCGGTCATCCAAACTGTGGTAGCGGAGCAGAGGGAGTCAGAGTGAAGCAAAGGTTTGTTTTGGCTTCAACTGCGTCAAGCAGAAAATTAGAGCCGTGTTAGAAAAACAGCAAGCATCAGAGCACCGCTGTACTGATTCTCAGGAGGAAGAGACGGAGCAGAGGCTGGAGACGGTCAAACGTCGGATGGTTTGAGAAAGTCATCCAGGAAGAGGATTGTCCACTTCCTGTGTATTCCCAGTACTTCTCAGTTAACACCGACACACTGAGAATGAAGGCCAAAAGGTTTAATTGACCTTGAGTTGTCTTTACTTTTACTTCAGCTGTTTTTCAATAACTACGTCCAACAAGCATGGCTGTTCTGCCCTGCTGTAGCGGCCTGTAGGGGGCAACAGATCTGCTGTTAACACAAGAATTTCCCCAATATGGGCTCAATAAAGCACAGATTGTGTTTAAAATAGAGGTTAGCGCTCAGCTGCAGCAGGGAGCTAAATAAAGACTGTTAAATGGTCATCTGTGTCGGCGTGTGTGTGTCAAGGAAGGACTCACATGTTGCAGTGATCAATTACAAAATGTTTGTATCGACTTATACGAATATTAGTCAAATGTTTTTTGTTTTTTTGTGTGTGTGTTATTTGGTATCGACTTATACGAATATTAGTCAAACGTTTTTTTTTGTGTGTGTGTTATTTAGCTGCACTTAAGCCATTTCTGTGCTATCATTTTTCTCGTTTTTTATTTTTAACCTATTTTGACACATTGCTATATCTATTAGCTATGACATATTTGAATTATCGTTAGTTTTCTCTGAGTCAATTGTTGAGTTAGTAGAAATTCCAATCTGTATCATCTGTATTTAGGTATCTTGGCTGCATTTCAGCTAACCTTTAGCTATTTTTTTTCCTGATTTCAAATGTTTTTGCTTTTGTGTCTTTTGAGTCAAACCTATGATCAGCCAAACGTAAGTAATCCTAGATTGACTAAGCCCGAGCTAATGTTTATTATTTTACTGTTTTAGTCTCTACTTTGGAATGGAATGTCCTCAAAAGGAAATCAAATATAAAAAGACTCAGAAAAGTTCACCTACATTAAATACACACACACACACAGCGCGAGAAAGACACTACTAACACAGATCAGGCAACATCAAGGCAATATCATTTCATTTGGTCTCCCGTCTCTGTGTGTTTCTGAACCAGGAGAGAAGGAAGGAATCAGCTCTCAAGTAAAACAGTGTTTTCACATCTGCTCTCTGTTCTGAAGAACAGGCCCAGGTCTACAGAGCAGGGCGGTTTGGTAGGCGACGACGACTGACTGGCTGGCTGTCAGTTTCAGGTTCAGTTCACCGGGCCACACAGAACCTCTACAAGCGCCGTCGTCTCCTGCTCTTCCTGCAGCAGCATCAAAGATGCCATTGGCTCTGTGTCGAGACCACCACGTAATGAGATCTGAGCCGCTCAGAGCTGGGGCCCCAGAGAGTTTCCCTGTGCCAAGCGTCCAGAGGCCAGGCTCGGGTCAGGCCACTCCCAGTGATTTATGTTCTACTTTATCGCACATAATGAGCCTTTGCACAATTAGCCGCAGACACGCTATCAAAGAGCGCGGCCCGGTGTCGATGCCGACCCTGGTGAACGCAGCTGCTGCTCCTTAACCATGGCTCCACTCCAAACCTGACATTTTTGTCAGTTCTTAATGGACAGAAGTGATGGTCATTGGAAGTGGGTAGAGGGTTGAGGAGGAGGAGTTTTCACCTCATCACTGCAGGAGCCACACTTTTTCGATTTCTTTTGATTTTTTTTTTTTTTTACTCCTTCAGGCTGCTGAGACTTCCAACCTTTAAGGAGCAAAAAATCTGAGAAACTTAGGTTTAAGAAAAACGAAGGAGAAAATCACTGATCATTTGAGTTTTCCTTGATTGTTTCTGTGGTCGCCTCGACCCAAAGGACAACACAGGGTTTGTCCTTTGGGTCGAGGCGACCTGGTGGCTTATAATATGCCTTTGTGTTTGTGTGTGTTTGCGTGTGTCTATGCGTGGTCCTGCACTGCAAGGCTTGTGGCAACTTTTACTTATGCTCTGATTCTGGGACAAGAAAAACTGATTTGAAAGTTTTTTGTCTTGAAAATTAGTAGGTTTATTTTGTTCTATTTTCGTTTTTTAAATCGACTTCTAAAGGAGTGGTTTGGCTTTGGCCCAGAGGCAATGTCTCTGTCATTGGTGTGGAACCCCAGGGTTCAACTCCTGGGCAAGTTTGAATCCCGGTTAGGGCGGTTGGTACCTTCCAGTGGACTCACCACCTGCAGGAAGGTTTAGGTCGGGTTGGTACGGTGCAATGTGATTTGGGTGGTGGTCATGGAGACTGCTGCCCCCGCGACCCGGTAACGGATAAGCGGATGAAAATGTATGGATGGATGGATGGATGGACTTCTAAAGGAATTGTTTTGTCTTTTGTGTCTTTCTGTTTTTCTACCACTACTTCTGGCTACATTGCACTTTTTGTTTTTGAACTTTCTTTTAAAACCGTCCTTTAAATTCTTCTATTCATATACTGTGCTGAGATGTTAGCACTGATGACATGTCAGTTTAATAAAATAAAAAAACAAACAGTTGAAAATGTGTGGCGGAAGGAGATAAAGCATGGCTGGTTGGTTATCAATTGATGGCCACAGGACAGTGGCAGCATGGACCCAACAAATATCCAAAATACATTCAAGAAATCAACTCATAGTTCCATTTGTCATTGGTAATGATTGGCTGTTTCCCTCTCTGCGACATCTGTGGTCGGGGGAGTGGAGCCTCTCCAGCCTTTATTATAAAACGAACTCAAAACTAAATCTAACAAATACTCTCTCACTCTGTGGGCTTCAAAAAAAATGTCAATGCGCAAAAAAGGGTCCCCGAAGGAAGAGGTGAAGTAGAAGAAGGTAAAGGAGGTCAGACTGTGGTTCACAAGGGCAGAAAATGTGACTACTGAACAGCAGCAGCAGCAGCAGCTTCAGCCGACTCTCACCACTGTTACTGGGGTTTTGTGAGTATTATTTTATTGTTTGAGCGACACTCAAGCGGACACCCTGTGTGAGAAAGTCCAGCCCATCTGCGTCTGTGTTTTCTCTGCTCTTGTGTTCATCCGGGAAACGACAAAGAAGAAAACAAGATGGTTGTAGATCATTGTCTTAGCCTTTCCGAGGACAAGCGTGGGACAAGGATGTCCAACCATGGACAGACTGGCTGAGGTTTTCATCTCGCAGTAACAGACTCCTCAGATATGAACAAGACGTCATAAGGAAACAGTTGTCCACCTCTGGACATTGAGCCACTCCCTCTTCCCCGACGAAAGTATTTGATTTCAGGTAGTACAGTTAAGGCCACATGGTGGCATTCTTGATAGGGGAATAGATTGATCGGACACTATAATTGGACCAATTATGAGTGTGTCCAGTTCTGAAGCAGCGGCAGAACTGGAGAGGAACATGAAGAGACACTGAATGAGAGTTTATAAACAGCCTCAAACAATTGCAGCCATTTATTCATCTTGCATTAAAACACAACAGTTTTATATTTTTCATTCAACGTTGGATTCATTGTTTTGTCCAGAAGTCCTTACAGTTCACCTGGTGTCAAACTCATTTTCACCCAGGGGGCCACATCAGCAATACAGTTCACATTGAAGGGCCGGTTGTAAATGGAAGACTGTTTAGATCAGGCGTCCCCAACCCCTGGTTTGTGGACCAGTACCAGTTCATAGTTCATTTGGTACAGGGCCACCTTGGGACAAAATGAACTTAATTCTTACTAATTGACTATATTCAAAGAAAATCCAATCATATCCCTTTAGTTCCTTTTATTTAAAGATAACCTGGCAATATTTTTAAACAATATGTCATTCACAGACTCTGGTACAAACAGAATAAAGTCTTTGGCCCCCGAGCCTTGACTTTGATACGTGTTAAAAATCTACAGCTGAAACAATATAAGGCAGTAAAATACACTGTCAAAAAAAAAAAAGTTCTTCTTTCCAGAACATCTGTGTAATGTATGTCTGTTGGAAGGTTTAAGGGTTCTCAGCTCCAGGACTGAAACAGTACTGTCCAAATTTGGACCAAGTTGTCCAACCTTTACAGTGTTTTTAATGATCTGTGAGAGTTGATCTCTATAATATGTCACCTAGAGTATGTTTAACTGTTAACTCCATAATGACCAGCAGGGGCAGGTGGGGCAGGAAGGCAAATAAATTTTAGGTTGTAATTTTTTTCAATTAAAATCAAAAGGCACTGATTTCTGATTTTATTATTTTCTAAATGAGAGCAACAGAAAACAAATATTAAACTTGTGTGCAGGTGTTGTACAAGTTAACGTTAGCTTAAATGTTAGCACAAAGTTAAGATAACGTCACAGATACAGGGATAATGGCAATGAAACAGGTTAGAAGATGACAGAATGTGGAATATAGATTAGTCAACTACAAATGTGTATGAAGTTAGATGAAAATCCTGAAAGGTAGCCAGTTAGCAAATCTAGCCATAGAAAAGTACATTTACTAGCCATAAATTACGTAAAGGTAAAAGTGAGAAAAACGTGAGTCCAGAAAAGGGAAAATAACTTTTAAATAAAGAGGAATTCTAATGAGGCGAGATAGTCAGAGACAGAACAAAGACTGGAGCTGAGGC